TCGTGTTCTTCTGTATCTTTCCATTTTGCAAATCTGAGGTAGATCAATTATTTTGACTAAAAATCTAGTCTGGGTTACTTTTTTGGATTATTAGATTTTATGACCAAGTGTTGGTGGTGGTTGTGACCAAGTGTTGATGGGGTTTGGTTTTGGAAAATATCGCAGATTTGGGGATGTGTGGTTGTTGAGGTGGTGGATATGTGGTGGTATGTTTCGTGCGGCGGTGATGGATCTGTGGTGGCGGTCGCAGTGGTGATGGTGATCCGTGTGGTGGTGGTCGTTTTTTTATTATTGTTGTGGCGGGGTCAACGACAGTGATGATTCTTTGTGGTGTCTGTGACCTAGCTATTGATTTGTGACTTTAAAATTGATAATTTGTTGGTGTATGTGACCAACAAATTTGAAAATACGTGACATGTGACATATAATTTTTTTGATCTGTGACCAATAAAATAATCTGTGACCTATAAAATTTTAGATTTGTGACCTCGAAATAATCCGTGACCTAAAAATTTTGTTAATTATATTATATTACAAGTTAAATATTTAATTTAATATAATAATTGTAAAATATAATTAATTAATTCATGAAAAACCTGATTTTTGCAATTCTAAATCTTGGGGCCTGATTTTTGATTTTGGGATAGATAAAGTCTGAGTTGTGAATTTTTCCCATGCATCATTTATATTTGGGTTAAATCCACCAATACTATCCAATTTTATACTTAGTATTACCATGACCACCCAATTTGATTATGTTTCACCGTGGTCACTCAATTTTATACTTAGTGTTATCATGGTCATCCAATTTGATTTTATTTAATCATGACCACCAAATTTCATATAATGTTTCACCATTGTCATACGACTTCTTTTTACCATTTTCATTAATTTTAAAATAGGGTAAAATGGTAGATTTACATTATATATATAAAATAAATTTTAAAAATGCAAAAAGAAAAGTTTCTTTCTTTTCACCCTGTTTTCTAACTTTAAAAAATAAGTTTTTATTTTATTTTAAAAATGTTTTTTAAATAAATTTTTATTTTATTTTTCTAACTTTTTTTTTTAAATAAGATTTTATTTTATTTAAGGAACATTATTTTTAAAATAACTTTTTAATTTATTTTTCTAAGTAACTTTTTTTAAAATTAATTTTTATTTTATATATGTATTGCAAACTTACCGTTATACCCCTTTTAAAATTAGTGCAAAGAATAAAAAGAAGTGGGTGGTCATGATGAAATAAAATCAAATTAGATGATCATGATAATACAAAATATAAAGTTGCGTGACCATTGTGGATTTAACCCTTTATATTTACATGGGTTGTTCCAACGAAGTGTATGTGTGCTACAATTAGGCTTGGGTGTGATATGGTTTGGGTCGATTTCGACTCCAACCCAAAACCAAAACCAAATTAATTGGTTTGGGCAAATTTCAACACAAACCAACTCACTCTAACTCTTAATTCGGAGCGAATCAAACAAAATTAGTAGTTTTGGACTTTTACTTTAAATTGAATTTTTAGGAAAAAAAATAAATAAAAATCATTCGGGGTTTTGGGCCTACTTATATTACATGAACTAAAATAACTAAAATAACTTTATATCACAAGAACTATTGACTAACAAATAAAATCAAGTTAATACACACAGGTCAACAGAAAACTTGAGTTTTGTTACTTTTTTATACATTATTTAGCATAAGTGCATGAGCACGAAAAAGTACAAAGTATGACATAATGTGTAGCGATCGAAAATTTCTAACTCTTACAAAGAATATTATTACTTAAAAGATCGAAGGGTATAATTAACTTGTCGCGTCG